TGGGCCTGTGGGAAACTGAGGCAGGATCTGCTTTTCACATTCCCAGATGGAATTCCTTGGGGAGCTTGGGGTCACCGAGGTGTGCGGGATCTGAATGTCTGGAGTTCAGTAAGACAAGGTCACTCAGAATTCCCAGGTGACTCCTGAGGATATTTTGCCTCTTGAGGGATATTCCAGGTTTTTACCTGGAGCAGGACCATGGAGGGGCCACAGATGATCCCAAATCCTGGCTCTGCTTCTTCAGGAGACTTGGAGTCTCCTCCACAGGTCCCTTTTGGCTTGAAAGGTGTGGCTTGAGGAGGACGAGGACTTCTCCCAGGATGGAATTCCTGGGAATATCAGAGACATTTTGGTTGTGATCAATCATTCCTGAAGTCTGGAATGCCATGGGTGTTGATGATCCAGGAATAGAATTCCCACCCCTGCTGATCCCTCTGCAGCAGCTCCATGCTCTGATCTCTGGGAAGGACATCTCTGCTCAGGCAGTCTGTGAGGAAATTATGGGAATTTTCTCCTTGCTTTGAAGTTGATTTTTCCATAGCTCAGCCCCTCAGGTCCCACCTCGTTTGCTCCAGGGGTGGAAAACAGGAAATCCTTTGGGTCTGACAAATGTTGTCCCCAAATTCCTGTTCCTGGAAAGGCACCACAAATCTCAGTTCTCCTGGATAAATGGCATGTGCTGACTGCAAATCATGGATTCCCAATCCCTGGAAGTGCCCAAGGCCAGGTTGGATGGGATTTGGAGCACCCTGGGATAGTGGAAAATGTCCTTGCCCAGGGAATGGGATGATCCTTAACGTCCCTTCCAACCCAAACCATTCCAGAACTGCAATGTTTTCCCTTTTCCCTTCTTTCTCCTGCACTCCCTTTCCCCTTCCTAGTGATTACCTTGTGTTCTCCCAGCAGATCCCAGCATTCCTTGCCCTCAATCCCAACAAATCTGTTTGCCTGGAGCTGCTTTTTGAGCTGCTGCCAGGCAAGTGGCACAGAAAGGATCCTGTTATTCCCTAAAATGAGTTCCATAAACGAGGATGACCGGGACCTCCCCAGGGACATTTGGGGTTTGCTTTCATGTCTGGGACATCAACCAGGGAATGAAAATTCCTGAGGACATCCTCATCCTACCCCAGAGGCTCTAGAGGAGCAAGGAGAGGAGGAAAAGGGATCCAAATGGATTTTACAGCCTCAGGATAAAGTTGTTGTGTCCCACTTCCCTTTGGCATTTCTGCTTTCTCCAGACAAGGAGGGAAAAGCAACATTCCCGGATCTTTTCTCCATTAGGAACTTTAATTTTCCAGCAAATTCCAGCACTGGGAAGAGAGAAGGGGATGATTGAGCAAGAGGAGCAGGTGGGATTTGATTGGAAAACCAGGAAGCCCAGGGAGGAGCCTCTATCCCTTCCAGGTGCTCCAGGGATTTCAGGAACAAAGGCAAAAACATCCCTCGGGATAAAACTGTTCCTTGGATAAGCTGAACGCCAAGGAACTCAGTGCACGAATTTCTGCTGAGGAAATTTAGGGAAAGCTGATTTAAAGGGATTTGCTGGCAGCTTTTGAAGGGATTAAGTCTGCAGGGACAGGATAACCTCGACCTCTTCCTCCAAAACAGCTGGATTTGGGAGCTGGACACGTCTGGGACAATTTCTGCCTTCCCTTGGATGCTCCTCTTGCTCCCTGAATTCCCATCAGCAAAAAATTCCTCCTCAAAAATCTTCTCAGTGCTCCTGAGTGGCCAATTAATGGGAAAAATGGGGTGGGGGAAAAGAAATCCCAAAAAAAGGCTGATCCAATTCATTTCAGGTGCTGGTTTGAGGATGGAATACATTCCAGCTGCTCTGGGCAGGAAAATACTATAGGAGGAGTTCTGAGGGAATAGCTCAGGTTGGTAAATCCCATCCTGTATATTCCCAGTTTTTCATCAGGGCAGGGATTATTGGGAAAAATATATTCTGTATTTATTCCTTTCTGTTGGATAAAGGGTTTTACCAGGATGAGGGATTTTTGGGGGGGATAAAAAGGTGAAGGCACGTGAGAATTTGATAAAAGAGGGGGGAATTGTTGAATGTGGGAATCTTGAGGAGGTTTTGGCTCTGGAATTCACTGGGATGAAAAATTCCCAGTACCTTTTATCTCCTTTTTCATTGTCCTGAGCACAATGTGCAGGGAGTTCATGGAATAAACAGTGCTGAACTGGAACAAATTCTGGATATTAATGTGGATTTTGGGATTCTCAACATGGCACAGGTGGCCTTGAAAAGAGCAAATCCTTGGAAATTGATTAAAATATCCCTTTTTTGGCCAATTTTCTATCCTAGCCCAGTTCCAGGAGGTGCCAGTTTAGGAAAAGGGGGCTGTCACCTCCCAGCTTTGGGTTGGTTTAGGACATTCCTGCTCCCAGAATTTGCACCCACGCTCTGGATTTTTCCCAGTTCCTGCTGGATTTGGGCTTTGCTCATTTGTCTGATCCTGGTTAGGATTTGCTGGGATTTTTCAGTCCTTGCTCTCTTCATCTGACTCTCAAATCCTGCAAACTAGGGATTAATTTCCCTTCTCTCTCCGTATCCTATGGATATCTCATCCTGGGACATCCATCCCTGTTTTCCTCCCATCCAAAGGGATCCAAATCCTCTCCAAAGCAGTGGCTGCTTCATTCCCAGCACTTCCCACCCATTCCCAAATTCTAAAACCCACCTGGGCACTCCTGGAAATGAAGCCACTTATTTTGCTGCCTGGGAATCTCCAGATACCCAAAATTCGGCACAAATTATTTAAGCAAGGCTGTCCCGTGGAATTTTTTTGGATCAGGTGTTGGGATTGTTTTTCCAAGGGAAAGCTTTGCCCAGCCAGAGCCAAACGTGCCTTGGATCAGGAAGTTATCACAAGGAAAATATTCCCATGGATTCCTCTCACCTTGCACAGCCAGGCTGGGAGGAGGAGCAGGGGATTTAATTTTGCCTTAATATCAGGAGATCCAGGGCAGAAAAATCCAAGGAAAATCAGGAAAACATGCAAGGAAAATCAGGAAAACATGCAGTCCAGGATGTGGAATTCCTCCAACAGCTGGAAGATCCAAAGGTGTTCCAGGGTTTTGAGCTCTGGGTGTCTGTGCTGTCCCACCTGCTCTCCCTTGATCCCAAATTTGAGGATTTCAGGCTTGGATAATCCCCAATCCCTGGGGATATTTCAGCCCCATGGAGGCACTGAAATGTCCCCACAAGGGTTGGGACAGAGGGAATGCCAAGTTCCCAACTCCCAGTTCCCAGCCTGGTTTTCCCTGGGTGTTTAATGGGATTTGTCCAGCACCATTCCACAGTTTTCTCAAAATCTTTTGAGAACTGATGTCTTCAAACACCAGGATTCAGTGAAAATCTCTGCTTTAATCCATAAATTTATTTACATTCACATTTCCACCCCTTTGACCAAGGGGAAACCCACAAAGTCAGGTCCTAAATAGATTTTTTTAATTATTTATCCCATTTTTGGGAGGAGAGGAGGGAATGTAGGGTCAGTTTTGGTGGATTTTTTTAAGGATAGGGCAGGTTTAGGAAATTAAACGTGAGCTGAGCTTGGAGCTCTGTCTTTGCCCAGCTCCAGGCCCAGCCCTCAGAGACTTTTCCCTCTTATTTCTGGGAATTAAAATGTGTTTTCTGTGCATCCCTCCAAGCACAGCCAGAGCAGCCGAGCACTGAGCGTGCTTGGGATGAATCCCTTGGAATTCCTGAGGTCCCATCCCTCTAAATCCAGCCTAACTCCTCCAGCTTTGGCGGAATCGCTCCGGCTTTGTACAGATCCGAGTGCCAGCGGGAGCTGACCCCGAGCCTTTCTGTTCCCAATCCAAGCTGAAATGAGGGATGGTGCCTTAAATGTGGACAGGCCAAACATCTGGGAAGGGCTGGAACCGTTCCCATTAACGTGGACGCGGTTTGGAAGCGACTCCCGCTTGTGAAGGGTTTTCAGCCTGGATTTGTTCCAAGGACACGAAAACCCAACTCCTGTTTTACTCCCGGCCCCTTATCAGATTTAACTCCACAGCTGCGTGTCCGCTGCCTCCGTTCCTCTCCCTGGGAGCCCACTGGGAAATCGAATCCCGGCTTATTTGGGAGCTGGGATTCATTAACCCTCGTTATGTCATTTGGAGGGAGTTTGTGTCGGGAGTTAATTGGCGCTCAGCTGGTTCCTGTTACTGGCTTGGCAAAGGGGATGGACTGGAAAGGAGGGAAGAAACCTGGATTTGGGATGGGGATGGCTTGGGGAGTGCAGGGAATCATGGAATGGGTTGGTTGGGAGGGATCTTAAGGATTATTCCAATTCCGTCCCATACTTCTGCCCCAGGGTGTTCCAACCTGGCCTTGGGCACTTCCAGGGATCCAGGGGAGGCACAGCTGCTCTGGGAATTCCATCCCAGCCAGGAATTCCTAATTCCTAGTATCCCATCCATCCCTGCCCTCTGGCAGCGGGAGCCATTCCCTGTGTCCCCAGTCCCTCCATGCCTTGTCCCAGTCCCTCTCCAGCTCTCCTGGAGCCCCTTCAGGCTCTGGAAGGGGCTCCAAGGTCTCCTGGAGCAGAAGGTGAGGAGATGCTGTCAGCTCCCAGCTCTCCCTGGGACAGATCCCTCCACACATTCCTGGAGCCTGACACCTGTGGATGAAATCTGTGTGCAGAGGGGGAAGCAGCACAGGAGGTTATCATTCCTAACAGGAGAAGGTTCCTTGGCATTAAATTATTTACTAGGAATGTTTTCCTCCTGGAGAGCAGCCCCATCCCTGCAGTCTGGGATGCTCCATCCCAAAATTGCTGCTTCCACGTGTGAATGTGCACGATGGGATCAGCCCCAGCCTGCAGCTCCTCTCCCACCTCCAGGGATGATAATTCCACGGAGGAGCTTCTCCTTGGGACACAACTGCGGAGGCAAACCGGGATTCTCAGGGCGAGGCTGAGGAACTTATGGATGCAGAGGAGGGTTTGGAACTGGAGTTTGACCTCTGTGTGCCCTCCCTGCAGGTGGATGCCGACGATGTCATCACCAAGGAGGAGCAGATCTTCCTCCTGCTGAAGGCCAAGGCCAAGTGCGAGCGCCACCTGAAAGCCAAGGTGCCCAAGGTGCACGGTGAGTGCTCCCAAATGCCGGGGCTGGATCCACCCCTGCTTCTCCCAGCCCTTCCCCTCAGCCCCACATGCTGGGAGCAGGGAGGGAAGGAGGCACTTGGAGCATCCCAGCGAATCGGTTTTTCAGGATAGTCCATGGAGAGGAAGTTTGGAAAGCAAAGCTGTCCCAGGCTTGTTCTGCTCTGGAATTCCAAAGGCTGAGGGTCCAGGAGGATGTAGAAGTTGTGGAGTTTTAGCCCTGGTTGTTACACCCAGTGCAAGGAGAGAGCACCAATCACCAGCTCTGCTGGGATCACAGAATTCCAGAATGGGTTGGGTGGGAAGGAACCTTAAAGACCCCATTCCACCCCTCTGGAATGGGCAGGGACACCTCCCACTGTCCCAGGCTGCTCCAACCTGGCCTTGGATACTCCCAGGGATCCAGGGGCAGCCTGGATCTGGGAATTCCATTCCAACCCCTCCCCACCCTCCCAGCCAGGAATTCCCAATCCCCAATCTCCCATCCATCCCTGCCCTCTGGCAGTGGGAGCCATTCCCTGTGTCCTGTCCCTCCATGCCTTGCCCCCAGTCCCTCTCCAGCTCTCCTGGAGCCCCTTCAGGCCCTGCCAGGGGCTCTGAGCTCTCCCTGGAGCCTTCTCCTCTCCAGGTGAACATTCCCAGCTCTCCCAGCCTGGCTCCAGCCCTGGAGCAGCTCTGGGGCCTCCTCTGGACTTGTTCCAGAGGAGAGCCACTATCCAAATCCCAAAAATCCTTTGCAACCAGTGAGAGGGAAAACAAAACATCACTCCAAGACCTTTCTCCTTCCCCACTCTCTCTCCTCAGAAGGGTCTGAGCTCAGCTGAGCCTCTTCCTTCCTCTTCCTTTCTATTTTGGGCTGGCAAATCATTCCCAGATGTGGGGCTGGGGGGAGGAGGAAGGAGAGAACTCTCTGATGTGGGGAGCAAAGCCCTCACCCCCTGCTGGCTCCTTCCCTCACATTCCCAAGTGTTAATTCCTGAGGGACCCTTCAGTCCCTGGGGTGGGTGTCCTGTCCCACTTCCCTGCACTATCCAGGAAAATGGGACAAGCCACGATGCTCCTGCACCTCGGCTCTCCCTTCCCTCTGGGAATTCTGTGGGAAAGGTCCCCAAATCCAGCTTCACCACCTGCCCTCCCGGTGCCTTTGGAAACGCCAGCAAGGGGCCATAAAATCCCAGCTTTCCTTTGATTCCAAGCCTCCTGTTTTCCATCAGGAAACCTCAAGCCACATCCTCTACTGCTCCTTTGTCCCCTCACCCCGTGCCCAATTAACACCTCGTTAATGAGCACATGTGTGAAGGCATTTCCTGCTGGTGTCTCGCTGCCCACCTGGTCCTGCTCCCAAGCCCCTTTTCCAGCTTTCCTGAGGCAGCCTTTGGGATCGATCCCCTTTCACTGGGGCCAGGGATGGGGATGTGATTGACAGCTGGATTTTGGGCTCTTTCCCAACAGCAGAGCAAAGGAAGCAGATCCCAGGGATTTGGAGATCCTGTGGTTTTGGTACCTGGGAGAGTTTGAGTTTGAGACTTGGGTCTGGGACTGGAACAGAAAACTTCCAATATCCAGTGGTTTAATTCCATGGACCAAATCCTGCCCCTGGAAAAAGCTGTCCTGAGCTCCTCAGACCCCCTGCTCCATCCTCTACAGCAAATCCAATCCCAAATAGTCCAAGAGGAGGAATCACCTGGATTTCAAGGCTTTGGAGACTTCACTCATTAGCAGAGGAAAATTAGATCCAATTAATCTACACTAATCCAAAGGCAGAATGAATTCTCTCTTAACCTTTCGCAAGGAATGTTTTTTTTAGGATTTAGCACCCCAGAAATTCCCTCTGGGAGTTCCCAAACAAGGCAGGGATTTGCCAGACTGCCCCTGAGATGGTTTAAGGAGTTTGTGGTCACAGCAAAGACCTTTCCAAATTGGAAAAGTTCTTCCCACTTTTCAGAGGAGCTGCCATCCACAGATTTGGGGATTCCAGATGCCCTTGGACACAGGGAAAACATCTGGGTCCAGTGCATTCCTCCTTGGATGATCCAGAATTTGGGATGTGGTGGCTGTTTTGGGATATCCAGACCTGTGCCCTCCTCATCCACGGGGAGGATCTCATCCCATTACCTCTTCCCTCAGTGCAGATCCCAAAGAAAAATCTGGGAAGGGCAACAATCTTCACAGTTATGATGCTCCAGGTCCTATTCACAGACAGGAATTAAAAGGAAAATTTTCTGAGGAAAAGTAGGGTTGTTTTGGAGCAAAATAAATCCTGGATGTGGTTTCCAGTTGACCCATGGTCAAATCCATGCAGGGTTTGTCATTCCAAAGGGAAAAGGACAGGCCCATAAAGAGGCAGCAGTTTTGGGGAGATCCTCAGGAAAACACAGTTATCCAAGGATGGGATTTCTCCAGCCTTTCTTAGGGAGTTGTTTGTGGTGAGGGATAAGATCCACATTCAGCTCTGCTGGAAGGGATCTTCCTGGAGAGCCAGAATCCCTCTGGGATCATCCTGGAGCAACTCCAATTGAGGGCCAACCCTGCCGACAGCCCAGCGGTGTCGGATGTTTGGGAAAGGAGAAAGTTTCCACTTAAAATTCCTGACCCAACTTGAGGGGGATCTCTCCTGGGAAACTCCTCACCACAGGGGTCGTAGGAAAAGAGTTCTTGACCCTATTCCAGAAAGTGGGAACATGTCCTGGCTGGCTGGGTTCCAAAGAAATTCCAAATATTCCAAATAAAAATCTTAGGGAACAAAAAGGTTAAAACTCTCTAAAATTTCAGACTTTCTTCAGCCACTGTTTATGTGTAAAAACTCCAAACTCCCTTTTTTTCACCCCCTAAAAAGGTTAAAATTCTGCTCTATGGGAGGATGAGGTCTGTCCCTCCTCTCCTCCTGGAGGGCTCACAGGGATCCTCTGGCTCCTGGCCACCTCCCAGGTGTCTCTGAGCCCTGGCTCCTGATCCATGTGGCTCCCACGTGGATCTGTGCCATGGGGAACTGAGGCTGGGCTGCTCCAGGAGCTTCCAAGGAGCCCTGGCAGGATTCGTGCGTCATCTCCACCTTTGGCTGAGGCACTGAGGGCTGGAGACCCAAAATACGAAACCAAAAAAACCCCAAAACCCTTCCCCCACAAGCATTTGGTTTCCTCCTTTTCTCTTTTTTTTCCCCCCTCCCCCTTTTTTCCCTTAAATTTAGTCTCCAGATGAAAGCCTTTGGGAAAGAACAGGAAACCCAAAAATTTCTCTTCTCCCGACACAAATATTCCATCCCAGCCCTGGTGGGCAGCTGATGCCACCCCAAAGTTAAACCTGGAAGGGGATGAAGTGAAATTCCCAGCCCTGAGCCATCAGACCTGGCTTTTTTTTTTTTTTTTAATCCATGAATTAAAAGCTTGTCTTTCCCTGGTTTGGAAGAGGAGATGGGACATTTTGTGGGGAAAGAAGAGGGAGTTTTGCACAACCCTGTCATTAGCAAAGGCCATGGCCAACCCTTTCTCTGAGCCTGAGGTGTTGCAGCTCCAAACCGGGTTGTTTTTTTAATAAATAAACCTATTTTCCCAGGAAAGGTGTTATTTTTAGTTGGGGATCTGGGTCTATTTACCTGCATCCCAGTTTGGTTTCACTGTCCCTAAAGGACCTAGAGCTGATTTCAGGCTCTCACTGGGCTTGAGGAACCCCAAAATCTGCTCCTGGTTTCCTCCCCAGAGGGTCCAGCACCATTCCCTGATGCCAGGAGCTCCCAGAGGCTGGGAGAAGCCTCAGGTACCTCAGAAATTAAGGGAGACAGAGGCAGCCTAAGCCCCAAACACCCCAGCCCTCTATAAATCCGTAATTTCTCCAGCTATTTCCATCTTCTCCCAGTTTCTGTTCTCAGTCCTTACAGGTTTGGCCCAAATTCCATTAAAAACCCAAACCATTCCTTGTGAACATATTCCCAGCAGAGTTTTGGCTTGGAAAAGCTGTCACTGCCCCAGTGGACACCAGCTGGGGGGTCAACATGGACCAGGAGACTTTTTAGGATGGCATTATGGACCAGGAGAGCTTCTAGGATCAAATTATGGACCATGAGAACTTCTAGGATGGAATTATGGACCAAGAGAGCTTCTAGGATGGAATTATGGACCAGGAGGGCTTCTAGGATGGAATGATGGACTGGGAGATCTTCTAGGATGAAATTACGGACCAGGAGAGCTTTGAGGATGGAATCACAGACCAGACTGTTCTTCTGGAGTGTGAGGAAGTTTAGAGTCATGGATATAAATTGTGATGGACTTGAAGGAGCTGAACTTGGGATGTGGCCTCTACCTGCAAAGTTTTATGGTTCTGGAGCTCCCAGTCCTGCTGAGGAATGTCCACAGAGCAGCTAAATAGGGTTTAGAACACACGGGAGGGATGGATCTTGGGAATTACGAGAGACACCAGTGGTCTGTAGTTTAGATTTGTAAAGGAACATGGAGAAAGGGTGGAAAACATTCCAAAGGGTGGCTGAATTAGCATCAACCTTGTTTTAATGATTGTGATGGTATTTTTCCCTCTCCGAGGGAGGCTGGAGGGGTTTGGAAGGACTGGATGTGCAGGAATGAGGAAAGAATGGGATGTGCCAGCAGTGGCAGGTCGGGAGTTCCCAATGGGATGTTGGAGGTTGAGTTTCTGCTCCTGGGCTGGGAAGTTGGGGGGTGGATGGGCATGTCCAGAACTGGCTGCTGAGGTCAGGAAGGTGTCTCCAGGGCTGGGTCATGGAATTGTCTGGTGGCCTTGGGCCCGGGATGAGCCAAGACATGCTGTGACCTGGAACAGCTCCTGGGCCCCATGTCCATCCCCTCCAATGTCCCTTTCCTCCAGGGCTGAGCACGGAAGGGCTGCTCTGTCCATGAGACACTGGGTGAAGAGCACAAAAGGTCTTTGAGTAGTGACAGACAGAAGCTGCATCCACCCATGGCCATGGAACTTCTGGAGCGGGTCCAATGGAGCTGAGGGAGGGCCTGGAGCATC